ATGAAGATTATTGTAAGTGTTTTACCTTTGAATTTTGGACATGTACATAAAACAGCAATGTCTTTAGGACATAAACAATGACACAGCTACTGGCAAACAAAAACTGTGGAAGTAATTTTTGCATTGATACCTATGTGCACCAAATGAGACACAAGTAAAATTACTGTAGAAGTTATCTTCACAGAATTTAAGAGTGATAACTATGGAAGTACAATATAGCACTGAGTACTCTGCTATCTGTACAACTCCATACAGACCATGGAGGAGTTATCATGACACAGTAATCAGCGTCACAAAACATTTGTATATTACATGTATCATGTATGATGAAGTGTGGAGGGACCATTTTTGTTTTTTCAGTAACTAAGAAAAGTGAGACTGTTCAAGGAATGAGGATTAAACAGTAGCAAGGAAGCACTTCTGTAAGACTAAGCCCAGTTCTCCATAAAGATGAGTGAAAACAGTCATGGTTAAAATTCCTCTTGTGTCAGGAGTGCACAGGGGAGTGGTAAGACACTGCAGGGAGTCTGATTGTTATGCAGAGGCTGTACTGAAGCACTCCTTTTTTAAAGTTGCAGCCTGTTACTTTTACTAGACAGCTGTGTTTTGCTTTTACTGCCTGTCACTGTGTGGCATCAATAAGATTTTATTTTAATTTGAATGTCAATTTAACATTAAATATTACTGACATGACAGCACAAACCACAGTGCCTATGGCTACATCTTCTCTTCCCAAAGAACCCCAGAGGTTTCCAAGAGACAAAAGCTATCACTGTATGACTGGGGCAGGGTGGGAGAGAATAGGGAAATCCCCCAAATTGTAAAACTGAAGTTATGAAAGAAAAACTGTTATTTTCTCAACAACAGTAACAAAACGCCTGTCACAAGTCAGATGTGGCTACAACATGTATGTATAAACTTTTACTTTTACATGCAGATCTCTACTGATCTCATCATTTTTTCTAGTAAAAAAAAAAAGTTTCTACTCATTGTCCTAAATCCATTTCCTTGAAAACAACTTGTAGTTATAAAGAATAAAATTGCTATAATTTCTAGCTTCCATTCAGCATTGTTCTTACCCTGAAGCAATTTCCTGTACAGCAGATTTCACTACAACTTGAACCTTTCAAAGATTTTCTTTTAGTATCTGCTTACATACTAATTTCTGCAATTTATACAAGCAACTCAGATTCTGAGTTTATAGAATTCTAGTTAATCATGTCAGTAATGAGATTTTGAATACAGAAAGAAAAGCTTCTTTATCCACAGTTTTGTTCTTATGGATCATTACCTTCTTCTGTCATATTTGTAAATTTAACATTATCTACTGAATGCAATGTTATAAAAGATGGAAATGTAGTTGCACAGAACTGAAATAGTAAATTTTTAAGTTAATCTTTTTAATAACACATTGCAATGGTTCTAAAATTCAACTCTCAAAGCTGCACTAATCTTAATTTTAATAGCTTTAATGGGAAGAAAAGTACTACAAAGACCAACAATTAAGGGCAGTTGATGTATCCCCTTGTGGGCAGCAAGAACTCAGATACCAGATAGGGAATAACCAGAATTGATTTACCACTAGATTTATTACACCACCACTTCTCCTAGTTCTTTCTAACAGTTTTAGGAATATTAATTACTCAGTTTCATTCACTCCAGCTGTCACGTGAAAGGGGGAGTTTTTCTCGACCCCTACTGTTTGGTCTGTTTATCAGCACCGCAGGAAAGCCAACACCCTTGTGCCTGACCAGTCAGTCAGGTTCTGTTATAGGGACCCTTCAC